CAGGGGTCTGGGTAAGGCTTCTCAGGCAAAGAAAGGCAGACAAGTGTGTCCCGGTCAGCCATCCCTTGGCCAGCCGTTCAGGGCATCGGGGGTCGGTGGGGACCTAGAAGACGGTCCCTGGGCTCTTAGTAGGAGCTGCACTCACCACAGCTCCAGAAATAATCTGCTGGAATCAATTAACGTTAAATTGCATGAACCCATAGAGGGAGCCACCTTGGGACCCCTTCCCTGCACCACCAAGAGCACGCGTGTGTAAGGACACACGTGCAGGGGGTTCACTCAGCAACACAACTTGAACCAGCCTGGTGGCGCCGTGGGGAGACTGAGGCGCACTTGGGAGACCTGCCGTGTGTAGCATCAGCAGACGTCAGGGAGGGACGTGCGGATGGAAAGGTACGGACGTCACCGCATGTGTGACGCTGGCCTTGCAGCAGGTGTGAAACCATCTGAGAGAGCACATCCCTCTGTGAACAGCCGGAAGACCATTGAAGCCAGACACTGGCCCTGGGCAGCTACCCTGTATCGCTTGCCTCGGGGAGGACGGGCCGAGCGGAAGCGTCCGGTCACGGGGCTCCTGAGCCCCACGGGGGACAAGGCCTGGGCGCCTGCGCTTCTCCAGCAGTGCCCTCTGGGTTCGGCAGGCCCTGGACGGCTCACGTTTACGTTCTGCCCACTTTGTTCTGATTTCTGCAGACGACAAATGCATCTGTGCAGAAGGGCATTGGGCACAGGACGGGGGGAGATGGTGAGGCTCCCCAAGGTCAGGGCTGCTGCCATGCCAAGGAGGCTGAGGCAGAGGCTTCGACGGCTTCCCTCCTCCATCCCCAGAAGTTCTGGCCCCTCCTTCGCATCAGTGCCTGCCCGGGGCCACCTCTGAGAGGAGTCCACAGTCCAGCTGGGCAGTGGCACCGTGGGGCGGCGGGGGTTCTCAGAGGCTCCAGATCGGCTTCTGCTGTGCCCACGGTGGTCTTCCTCTGGGAGGCGCATCTTTGCCCAGAAGGATGTGACGGGTCAGGGTGCGGCACGGCAGGACTGGGACCGTCTGTCTGAGGGTGGAGAGGCTGCCCGCCCTCTGCCGTCTTGGGATTAAAGGCCTCTCAGTGTGCACCGGTGACAGCCCCCTCGGCCTCTGCTTCCAGATTCAACAGGGACATCGAGTTCATGATCGGCCACAAGCCCAACATCTTCTGGCAGGTCACGTGGCGGGTGGTGAGCCCCCTGCTCATGCTGACCATCTTCCTGTTCTTCCTGGCGATCAGTGTCAACGAGGAGCTCGTGTACAGCGTCTGGAACCCGGCCTACGTGAGCCCTGGGCCTCCGGGGTGGGGCTGGGGGCTGGCTCCCCCTCCCTTCAGCCTGGAGGCCAGGAGGGAGTCACAGCGGGGAGAGGGACCTTCACCCCGAGGGAGGCCCCGGCTGCGTCGTCTGCTCACCCCAAGGTCGCTCTCTCTCTCCAGGAGGAATTTCCCAAATCCCAGAAACTGAAGTACCCGGACTGGGTGTACGGCGTGGTGGTCCTCGTGGCCGGGGTGCCCTGCCTTGCCATCCCTGGCTTTGCCATCTACAAGCTCATCAGGAGCCGCTTCCAGAGGGCAGGGGACCAGAAGGGGCTGGTTGGCGCGCCGTCCACGGTCTCGGTGAACGGAGACCTGAAGTCTTGAGGGGCCCCGCCCGCGGCACGGGGGGTGGGGTCAGAGGAGAGGGTGGGCTGCTCGTGTGTGCGTGTGTGAGCGTGTGTGTGTGCACGAGTGTGTGTGTGCCTGCGTGGGAGCGTGTGTACATGGGCATGAGTGTGTGCCTATGTACACACGTGTGCACGTGTGTGAGTGTATATACGTACGTGCACAAGAGTGTTTGCATATGCGTGGATGCTGTGTGAGTGTGCACGGGTACATTGCGAGTGTACAAGTGTAAAAGTGTGTACACAGTGTGTGGGTGTGTGCCTACATAGGTATGTGTGTATGGGTGAGTGTATATACATGTGCAAGTGTATGTGTGCGTGTGTCCGTGTATGTAAGCATGTGTGCACAAAAGGAGACAGGAGGGACCCTCCCGGTGCGGGTATACACGCATGTGAGTGTGTATGCACATGCATGTGTACGTGTGCTTGTACGCGTATGTGTGAGCAGGTGTATACGTGAGTCGGCGCATGAATGTACTCGCACGTGTGAGTGCGTCTATGCACCGTGCACACGTGTATTCGTGCATATGTATGTGTGTGCACAGCTATGTGTGTGTCTGTGTGTATGCATGCACGCCTATGGCTATGTGTGTACACATGTATGTTGCCCTGTAGCGCACATGCCTGCCAGGTGAGGCCAGCGGCCCAGGAGCAGACTGGTGGTCCCCCCGCCCTGCCCGCACTCCCAGGGAGAGTCAGAGCTGCAGCGGGGGTGCGCCTGCTGGGCGTGTCCTGCTCATCTCGGCCCCTAGGAACATAATCTCGTTGCCCCCGCCCATTCCCCTCGCTGTCACCTCCGAAGCTCGGGACTCCCGCGGTGAGGTCGGGCTTTTACCTCGTGGCTAGGAGCGCCCTTCTCAAGGCCTGTCCAGAAGAGGCCAGTGAGCTTGCGAGAACCTGGCAGAGCCCTGTGGGGCCCCGCCCACCTGCCGGCTGTGAAGAGCCCCCGAGTCTTGGCCACATTCTGGCGTCGTGAAGGCTGTGACCCACTTAATCACTGCATCTGGCCGCCATGAACAGACAAATAATTAATAAAACTCAGCTTGGGCGATTTGGGGCAGAAACCCCCGCTTCGTGTTTTCTTGAGAGGACGGTAACCGCGTGAATATTTAGCCAGGTGTTGGAAAAGACGAGTTACAGGCTAGCTAACTCAGCCTTGGCCACCGAGGTGGAGGACGGTGCACGCGTCCCGAGCAACGGCAGGGGAGCCCCGAGGGCCCCGAGGGCCGTCCACCGGGTGTTGCTCGGCGAAGGCCGGCGTCAGCTCCTCTCTCCCAGTCAGGGACGGGATGCGACACCCATTCTCAGCCCAGGTCACGTGGCACTTGGGTGTTTGTTTCCAAGAACTGGTCGCCTCCACTTTCCATGGAAAAATCTGGAAGTTTAAGTTAAACTGGACCTTCTGAGGATTCTCGGCGCAGGATGGGAGACCCGAGTGGGAGCGGGTCCCGGTGCCATGTCCCTCCCACTAGGAGACGCCCCGCCAGCTTCCGCAGGACCCCACCTCCCTGCTCCCCAGAGCGTTCTGACCCTCCTCTGGGGCAGCTCTGCTGCGGACCCCCTGGACACACGCCCCTACCTCCCGCCCCAGGGCATGGAGGGGGACACGCTCCCAGGCGTGACCTGGGTGGGGCTGGTCCGTCTGTCTCTCGGTGGTTTGGCAAGGGCTTCCTTCAGAATTCACATTTCGCAAATTGTCAGAAATTCGGGCTTTGTGGGCATCGCGCGTATCTGTCTGAATAAATCACTCCCTTTCACACTCTTGGCCTAAATGCTGTCTAAATGCAGAGGACGCGCAAGCAGCAGAGCCCCAGCCTCGAAGGGACGGGGCCGGACTGCGGTTGTGCTGTGCCCACGGAGCCCCCATTACCCAAGGTGCCCGGTGGAGTGCAGGGGTGGGTGCGCCTTGACCTCAGGATATGGGAGCTGCTGGCCGGGTCACTGTAGGGGGACAGGGAAGAGGGAGCCGGAAGCACGGAGGGGCAGGCCTGTGTGGGTCACTCGGGGCTGGGCCTGCCCTCCCCCTCCCCCCACTGCTTTCCATCTTCTCTGATTCTCCCTTTTCTCACTTTTTCCTTTCACCCAAAAAGGGATGTCTAAAAAAATGTGTCCCCTGGGGCCTGCGTTTCCGGGACCCCCATGTTTGGCATCCTGCAGCCCGGCTGGACAATTGTCCAGGAAACATGAGATTATGGATGTAGGGCCCTGGCCTGTCCTAGTGGAAGTGTCTGCTGGGTCGGGGGCGAACGTGTCCAGGGAGCCCCCGGTGGGAGGCTTAGGCTGAATCCACCGTGACAGCCCGCAGGCAGGAGGTGCTCCGAGCTAAGGCGAGGGCTCATGTGTCCCCCCAGCCTGGCCAAGCCCCCTCCCCTGTGCCCTGGTGTCGCCCTCCCACCCCAGGGAGCCCCCTGAGGATCCAGGCCCCCGCTCCCTCCACGACCCCTGTGGCTAATGGTGGGCTCACACCCAGCACGGATTCCTGGGCACCGGGGTGCCGGCGGATGCAGAGGGGAGGGCTGACCTTCTGGAGCTTACCTGGGCATCCTCAGAACAGGAACATTGGGAGCCAGAGGGAAAGTTCACATTCAGACAATTTGAGAAGTGTGGAAATCTCTTTGGAAAATAAATGTGGCTTAAAAATAAACACGGCCCCAGGCCCGGCAGTCCTGCCCGGGCGCTTGCCCCACATCCACACAAAGCCGTGTGCAGGTGTTCATCTCAGCTATTCCTCACAGCCCCACCCGCTCAGTGCGCAGCAGACACGGAGCCCCGTGGCCGTACTACACCCTACCTGGCCGACCCCATGGTCACACGGTTTATACAGTGTGCCTGAGATGACAAATCTATAGCGATGCAGAGCAGATGCAGGCCGCCAGGGCTGCGGCCACACAGGGGACAGAGGGACCCTCGGGGACGGACATGTCCGCTGTGACGCTGGCGAGATGTTCGCAGGATGTCTCCACTGGGGGGCTGGGAGCGTGGGCACTTGGTACTATTCCTCACGGCAACGTGCAAGTCTGCAATTATCTCACGAAGTTAATTAAAAGTAAAATTTTATAAAAACAACTAAATGTGCCCCAGCCTTGGAATCCTTGAGGTTCTCGTGTTGGTGGTGGCAGCAGCTGCGGGCTGTTGGCATCGGGCAGGAGCCAGCGGGGGGCAGGGGCACGCAGTTGTGGCGGGCGGGGGGTTGTTACCAATTAACCAACTCCACTGGTTTTCCTTTAAATCATGAAAAATCACACCTGCGGGGGAGACGGCTTGCGGCTTCCCATCCCCAGTGGAGGTCCCGGGCTGCGGCCAGGAGCAGGTGGTGGGCATGGCGGGCACCCTGGAGCCGGACCCACCTGTGGATGCTGGTGGGGATGAGCGGCCTAAGTGGGACAACAAGCTCCAGTGCCTCCTGAGCTGCGTCGGGTTTACCGTGGGCCTGGGCAACCTCTGGAGGTCCCCGTACCTGTGCCAGACCTACGGGGGAGGTGAGCCGCGCACCCTCCACATCCGTCCCCACCCGCGGCCTCCAGGGTGTTAGGGACCTGCCGCCCCCGGGGAATCTGTCCCTCTGAGGCCCAGTGGCCTCAGGTTTGCCGTGCTGTTCACTAGGCTGCCCGTCTGGGCTTGCGGCAGTCAGGGCGCCCAGGCCCCCTCTGCAGGCGCTGTGGCCTTGCTGACAGCACCTCAGAGCGCGAGCCCAGGGGTTTGCTCAGGCTCCCAGCAGCGAAGCCCATGGGCTGGAGCCGGAGCGGCTCAGCCTGGGCTGCCTCTCGCTCGAGGGCCTTCTCTTGGTGTCACGCTTGCTCTTGGGGACATGAGGCCGCAGGCTGGCCGGACCACTGCCTTCGGGGGCGGACGTGGCCCGTTTTGTCCCCAGGTTCAGGGCGGGGGGTTTTCAGGCAGGCTCGTCCTCTTGTGGGTTCTGAACTGAGGCTCCTCTGCCCCTGCGAGAGTGGCGGTTCCCCAGCACCTTCCGACCTTCCCGCTTGAGTTGGACTCTGGTGGGAAATTTGGGGAGTGTCTCTTTCAGGGCCCAGGAGACGGGAAAGGCTGAGCTGGTGACAACTCACGCCACGTCTTCTGGTCGGGGAGGCATCCTTGCCCTTTCAAGGGTGGACAGCCAGCCCTCCTCGTGAGATGCGGGGGGCAGCGGACGGTGGGCAAGCAGACCTCACGTGAGCGCTGCCTGCCGAGCTTCCTGGTCATCAGGACGCTGCGTCTTTATAAAGTCTTTGTTTCCTGATTGTGAGAAGATACAGGGCATGCAGGCAAGTTTGAAAATGCAGGTACCCCTGTAACAGCTGGCCCAGAGATGCCAGAGCCTCCGCGGTTTGGGGTCGGGTGGGCGCCTGGGCCCCGGGTCTGCTGGCCAGCGTCTCTCTGACGAGGGCCACTCGGGAACGGCAGAAGCACAGGCGGCAGACCCGACCCGGGGTCCGCGGGGGCCTCTCGGTGCCCTTTGCATCAGGTCAGGGCCTCAGCGACGCTCCTAACGCGGGGGATCTGACGTCTGCACACGTTTCACTGCCCACAACCTTACTCGCTGTTCAGAGCTGCTGGAGCCGGGGGCCTGGGAAGCCCTTTCCTGCGAGGTCCGTCTCCCCGCGGTCCAGACAGTGAGGCCTTCGGGGCGGCCGTGCCCGCGGCCGGGGCAGCCCGCGCCCCAGCCGCGCCCAGGGCTTTGAAACACTTCTGTCGCCTCTGTTTTCAGACGTGGAAGCTCTCGATGCAACATCATCAAATACTATGTCTCTCACGCCGCGAGAGGCCCTTTTTTCCTGTCCTGACCACGTCTGCCGACCCCCAAGATGAGGGAGAGGCAACAAGCTGACGCTGCCTCACCCTGGTGTGCACAGACTCCCCACCTCAATGTTCTGCCCCCACTCTGGAAACGTAAGGCAACGTTGTGACAGAATTGAGCAGAACGTCTAGGCACAGATGGACAGGGATTCTGTCACATAGACGCCACTCCGCAGTGAGCTGTTCTTTAAGTCACAGGACGGCAGAAACACAAAGGCCCGGCGGTGGCTCAGGTCGCCGACCGCGGGGCTCCGACATGGGCTGCGGCTCGGGATTCACCCCAGGGAGACACACAGATGGGGTCCCCCACCAAGAGGCTGCGATTTCTGCGCTGCCCTGTCCCGCCCGGACTTCCGTGTCCCTGGAGGTCTGCGGACTCTGGCGCCGAAAGCGGCGCAGAGTTAAGTCGTGCGGGTTTTGCAAGGAGCCCTGGCGTCCAGCAGAGTGATCCTCTCGGCTTGCGCTTCCTTCAGACGCCTTTGCCGTCACTCTTCTGGGTGAACCAGAGACACGGAGGCACCCGCCCGGGTGTCTGGCCTGGTGTCGACTGTCTAGGTGGGTTTGGGAAGCAGCCCCCCCCGCGACGTGTCACCCCTCCGCACACGCGCGCACACACAGCGTGTCACTCTCCTTTCTGTCCTCGTGTGATTCTCTCCGTAAAGATCTTGGGCAACCCGGGCTATTGCTGCCGTGCCGGCCGGAACCTTCTTTTTCTCCACAGTTTCTTAGCGGATTGGCCTGGTGTGTGCTGCACCCAGCACCCCGGGGCTGGTGGAGCGCGGGGTGAGGGTGGGGTTCTCCGAGATCCGCCAGCGGGCTGCCGTGCACAGCGGGCCCCCCCGACGGGGCTGCGTGCTCCGCGTCACCAGCTCTTTGGTGCCCCTTCTGCTCTCAGGGCTGTGGCACCAAATGTGTGAGGTTTTCCCCACACCGACCGGGTCTCCGGTTCTCAGTGGACACCGACGGGGTGCCCCACGACCTAACCCCACCCTGACACCGCCTGACCCCACAGGCCAAGGGCTCGCCCACAAGATGCCCCCCTCAGACGCCAATCTGGAGTAGCGGGTCCCCAAGTCACCCACAGTTTCTGTCCAACTTGGCTACAAATTCAAGGGGTCCCACGACCCCTCCTAAGGCTCAATAATTTGCTAGAATGGCTACCAGGACTCAGGAAAACACTTAGGTTTACAGGGTTATTATAAAGCATACAACTCAGAATGGCCACATGGAAGAGACGTAAAGGGTGAGGCGCAGGGAGGGGCACGGAGATCCCGCCCTCCCAGGGGCCACCCTCCTGTGCCTTGAGTGTCACCCACCCAGAAGCCCCGCCAGGCAGGGTTTTTGATGGAACCACCGGCCACTGACGGGTGAGTAACTCGGTCTCCCTGGTGGGCGTGGTCAGGGCCTCTGGCCTCCAGCTCCGTCCTCCAGGGGTTATACCTCAGTGGCATGAGCCCAGGTAAGGTTAAAGGGCTTCTCACGGACCGCAGATGCTGCTCGTCTCTCCTGTCACCCGTGAGATGCTGAGGGTCTTGGGAGCTCTGAGCTCCGAAATGCATTTCTTTTCGGGATGAGGACCAAATATGCTTGTCTTACTTCATGCCAGCATCACGGACCTTGTGAACCCTGCGCTGAGGCCCACCCGACGGCGGACCGTCTCTCCTTCCTCCTTCAGATCCAGCAGAAATGAACTTACCGTGTGACTTGAGGGAGGCAGGTGCCCACGCTGGACGTGGAGCCCTCTGCGCCCCAGCCTGGTTTGCCGTCTGAGTTCCTGCCCCCATGGCAGTCCCGTTGGGGTTGAGATGCTTCTGACGCACAGGGTGGACGCTGCTCACCACGTGGTCACAGAAATGCCCCTTGTTCTCTTCTCCCCCGGTGCAGCGACTCAGCCACAGGAGAAGCCCCCGCCCTCCCTGGATATTTCCTTTGGGTGGACCCAGCCATGCTGACCTCAGCCGCCCCTAAGGCCCCCCTCAGAGCAGGGCGTGGGGGGGGAAGGGGGCCAAGGTCTGGTTAGCCCGGAGGCTACAGCCCTTCCTAGACAGTGGATCACATACCTAGGACTCAGTCCCTGCCCGTGTGGCCATTCCATGTCGGTCCTCGCCACGCTGCAGCTGTGCGTCCCGAGGCCTAAGGGTGGCTGGGAGGCCCGCCTGCAGGAGACCCCGCAGTGCAGGATGGAGATGGGGCGGGCAGGGAAGAGGGCCCCTCCGTCTGTGCCCTGGGCCCCGGCCCTGTGACCGGCCCCTCCCGCCAGGGGCTCCCTGGGTGACCTGGGTTTTGTCCACACCCCTGTAGCTCCGAGTCCCAGCCCACAGATGGCCTCCCTTCCTTGGGGCTTCCGGTGCCTCCACCGAGGCCGAGTCCCTCCAGAAGTTAACTTCCTCCTTTAATGCGGCTTTGCCTTTCGGCTGCTACGTAGAGACACCAATGAGCACCGTTTGCCCCAGGCGCTGGCCCTGGAGTCCTGTCAGAGGCCAACGTGGGCTGAGGGCTCCGTGGCCACCTGCTCCCTCCAGGGCCCCAACTCAGCCTCCAAACACCGGATTGTGACACGAAAAAGCAGACGGAGGCTGTGCTGGTGAAGATCACAGGGGCCTGTGGTACGTGCAAGTGGCTCTTGGAAGCTGAATCCAAGCTTCCTGCAGACAGTGTGGGGAGGACGCAGCCGACCGACCTCGCTGGCCAGGGGCTAACGCTGAGCTGCTCCGTGGGGTCACCTGGACCTGTGCGGGGCGGGGGGGGGCAGCTGCCGTCGGTCCTGGAGCATCGATGTGCCCACACATGCTGGTCCAGAGCGCGCGGCTGGCGGGGACCCGGGGGGAAGGGCCCTCGGGCGAGACGCCAACATCGCCGACTCCGTGCTGGGGAGTTAGTGGCCCTCCCGACAGCGTGGGAGCATCCAGCGGGGAACTGGGGTCCCCCAGCAGGCCTGGCAGGTCTGTGGGTTCGGGGAGGCCAGGCCCTGCCAGCTCGCGGCACCCACTTTGTCCACGGGGGCTCGCGGCACAGAAGGGCCGCCACCATCTCTGCCTGCCCTTCCCTCGGGCTCTGGCATCGGTCAGTGCGTGCTCCGTCCTGGGGGCCTCGGCGACCTCTCCCGCCGCCGCTGGGTCCACCTCCCAGCGTCTGGACTGGGGTGAAGGGCTGGAGAGACAGGTGCCTGCGCCAACTCAGGGCGAAGCTTGGAACACCGTCTGGGGTGTCTCCTACTCCAAGGCTCCACGTGAGCAGACCAGCTCCCCGACTCAGGAGCGCCGGAACCAGGGGTCACAGGGCCTCAGGGAGAACAATGCAGCCTGTCCGTGGATGAAAACCGCCAATAAAGCTCCAGATGGTGGGGTGACACCAAGTCATTTAGAACAACAGCAACCCCCTGACGTGGGGGTCCCCTATCCTCCCCTCGGGCGGCCACGAGTGCTTCTCCCTCACCCCTGTGTCGTCCTCCGGCCTGAGGCCTGGCGGGGCAGACGGCGCCGCTGGCAGACCGCTGCATCTTTTCAGACACCTTCCTCATCCCCTACCTCATCGCCCGGCCTTCGAGGGCAACCCGCTTCCACATCGAGCTCGCCATTGGCCAGCGCCTGCGCGGGGGCAGCATCGGGGTGTGGATGGCCATCTCGCCCTACCTGGGTGGAGAGGGTACGCACCTCTCTCTGATCCCTGCCCGCAGCTGCTGGGGGCAGCGGGGCCGGTAGGGGGGCTGCATTTACATGTGCCATGCATGTTTCATGGGTGTTTGATCATCACTCCAGTGCATATCCAGTGGTTTTGAACCTGCAGACACGGGAGGTGCCCTGATGTAAAGATGCAGGGGCCTGGGCAGCGGCATCCCCGTGGGAGGACTTGGATGCCGGGTGTGGTGGCAGAGGCGGCAGGCCAGCCCCCGTGCAGCAGCAGGCTGTCCTGTATCGCCCAGCTCATGCATGCAGAGCGCTGAGCCTGCCTATCCCAGAAGCTCACGCACCAGGAGAGACCAGGCAGAGGGCAGACCCAGCTCCCCGTGTACCCTTGAGGTGGGTGCTGCAGTAAGGGATCCGAGCATCACCGTCCAGGCCTGTGACACACCTGGTGGCTGCAGGCCATCTGAAAGCCCCAGCTAGAAGCAGCCCGAGGCTGGTGGAGAGCCAAACGCGGCCCAGCCCGGAGAGCACCACATGGCCGAGAAGATGACGTGTTGCCTGCGGGCGGACGCAGCCAGATGCAGGCCAGCGGGCAGACAGTGCGAGCCCTTTGGGGCGATGTAGGGAGCAGAAATGTGGGATGTGCTTGAGGACGGTCTGCAACGGGGCAGCCAAGAGGGGGACGTTGACCGTGGCTGGTGCCCGCAGGGCTCGGCGGCTTCATCACATCTGTCCTGGTCAGCATGCACTGCGACACGGTCCTGGCATGGGTGCTGTGGCACCTCCCCAACTCCTTCCAACCCGCTGCCCTGGAGCGCCTGCCCGCCAGACCTCAACCACACGGGCACTGCTCTCGGGGAGGAAGCCCAGCCTCGCCCGGCACCTTGAGACTGGGTCTCGTTACCCCAGCTGTTGCCTGCTCACGGCGGGACCCAGGGCCCCGGATGCCCCGTTCCTTCACTGAGGAGCACCCAGGCCCTCGCAGCTGCTCGTGTGCTCGGGGACAGGAGGGTGAGGCACAGGCTGCTGCGCTCCCTGAACTAAGTCCTTAGGTGGAGACCCCAGCCAAGGGCGTCATCGGGGGACACCTCCCAGATGTGGGAAACAGTCATGGTTTTCAAGTCTGCTCG